TGTCTACTGACTTTGCTCTGTGGTTGCCAAAATGAAATCCGCCTCTGGCTCTTCCTCTTCCCGAGAATCACCAAATTGGTTACCATATTGCTGATGCTGATTTTTATGATCCTTAAATCCTTTACCTCTTCCTTTATTTGCTTTGTTTGAAGTCCAACCATAACCACCTGTTGAAGCCTTCAATGCTTGTTCATCTTTGTCCTGCTCATTGATCTTCTGTTGATGGATAAGCAAAGAGCTTTGGAGTTCATCTAGTGAAAGCTCATCAATATCTTTGAACTCCTCTATTGAGCAGACAACAAAATTAAATTTTGGAGTCATGGACCGAAGTAATTTTTCGACAATGGTAACATCTTCAGTTTTGTCACCATGAGTCCGCATCTTATTGGCAATCGTCATTACCCGTGAGAAGTAATCCGTCACAGATTCTCCTGACTTCATTCAAGTTGTTTCAAATTCTGATCGAAGAGCTTGTAGCTGCTGCCTTTTCGCTCTTTCCAACCCCTGGTATTTCTTCTTCATAGAATCCCAGATTTGCTTGGAGGTATCTTTGCAAAGAATAGTTTCCAAGATTGAGCGATCGATGGCTTGAAACAAATAATTCTTGGCCTTGAGATCCTTTAGACGTTGACTTTCCACTTCTATTTTCTGTGCTTCTATTGCTGCTGCACTAGATCGTAGGAAATTCTCCATTAACATGCTCCAATGATCATAGTGCCCATTGAAACGTGGAATGGTTGGTTGTACAAAGCTGTCTGAAGCCATCATTCACTGCTACTGCAGAACGAAAAGAAGAAGAACTGAAAAATGAAAGATTGTTATTGCAGCTCTTTCACTTTCTTCACAACCAGGCTCTGATACCACTGATAATTTAGAAACAAGAAAGTGGGAACTGGAAAGTGAACTTTATTACTCTAAGAAATCAATGGATTAATTCACAGTAACATGCTCTATTTATAGAGCTGGAAACCAACGAACTGCAGCCACTAACCCACTAACTCCTGATAAAATGCTAAAGACTTGGTAAATGCAAAACAAACTCTAATTTGACTGGGCCAAAACAAGCCACGTTCCTAAATAAAATAAATACAATTTATCAACTTACCTAAAGACTAGGACAATAGCAATTAAATAGTCTTGGACTTTTTCAACATTGCTCACTACCGGTTTTGACTCTGGAATCTGGATGTACTTGGGTTTCTTGTTCATTTTTGTGCCTTTTTGTTTGTTGGGAGTTCGTCTCATGAAGTCCTATTTTGGTTTAGAAGCTTTAATTTCTCAATGGATTTATTATGTTTCATGAAGTGCTGGATCTGTCTCTGCCCCATCATTTCAGACGGGGGTAATGTAAAAAATTATGTTTGCATACTTGCTGTAAGCTGAAATTATACATCATGTGTAGCATAAATTAGAGTTTTCCAAGTTCTCTTGTTCACTTACATTGTGCAATTTTCTTTCGAGAAAGAAGATTATATATACCTTCTCTTCTAGTGCATGCTGCCTTGCCCTAAAGCATATATAGCTGTAATTTTTTACCAAGTTTTAAAAACTCAACATCCTAGCGTTGCTTTAATGTGTGTTGATCTAGTCATGAAAGAGATACGGTTGGAAATATCTCTAAAATTTTTACCAATATTGCTACTTTAACTAATGGTAATTTGTATACGTGTGAAGAAACTTGAGACAACGGGAATGATCTTTGAATTTATCTTGAGTAACTAGAAGTGCGGTCATATGTTGCTGAATACATGTTCGTGATAAATGTTTTTTTTATTTGTTCTTCATGTTTTCTCATGGGAGTTCTGCCTAACTGTTGACATTTTAAATATTTCAATTTGGCAGCCGTGTGTGTGGGAACCCCCACGGTATAATTAGAAAGTATGGGCTCATGTGCTGCAGACAATGCTTTCGCAGCAATGCCAAGGAAATAGGCTTCATCAAGGTAATCAGCCGAATTTCTTAAAAATCTTTTGATGGCGTAGGTTTCTATACAAAGCTTTGTATATGCAATTGCTTCTGTATTTACTTGAAGCTAAATTTTCTATGGATTTGGTCGGGAGATTCTACATCTATAGAGATTTGGATCCAACTGCAACTTTGTAAAAATTTGCTTGAATGATTAGATCATCACGCTTTATTTTCACTGTTACTTCTTTAAGGGTTCATGTTTTTTCTCTAAGAAGATTAATTATTGTGAAAATTTGTTTTTGCAGTATCGCTAAGCGGGCAAGCCAAGATTTCTACTGGAGGAAGATTTTTCTCATGTGATGCTTTTAACTATTTCAGAGTTAACTTTTTAAATCATCTTATCCCGTCTTCGTTCAGAAAATGGGTGTATTGAGAATGATTATTCCGAGTTTATAATTTAACTTGAAATTTTATGTGAACAACAAATTATATTTGCGTATTTTATTGTCGTGCCCATTGCTGTTATGCATCCACATGGTGTTCTAATTTGAGTTGCAGAACCATATATGCTATTAATATATAGGATAAATATATTTGTACAAAATCTTGTTGGTAAAAAGGTGTAATCACTCTCACAAAATTAGTGGACCCCACCTGAATTTAAAATATATCCGCATGTGGTCCCCTTTTCAATAGTGAGTAAGAGACTTTGTACATGTAGCATGATTCTAATATATGTGTGTACGTGCACGCTTGTGCTTGATGAATTGGATTAGATGAGATATAACTTAGCTTTGTTTCCGATGAGAATTTGGAGTTGCTACACGATTTTTCTTTTGCCACCTTATTTCGCCACCTTATTCGCGCGCCCTTGATGAATTGGATCAGACAACATATAACTTAGCTTTGTTTCTGATGAGAATTTGGAGTTGCTACACAATATCTTTTTTGCCACCCTATTTCGGTTCATTGATTAGCCAATGCAATACTTGGTTTTGATTTGGAGTTGCTACACGATTTGCCACCCGATTTCGGTTCATTGCTTTTCCAATGCAATACTTAGTTTTGATTTGTCTCTCTTTCAGTATTCTTTGGTAAAATGGCGTATGTTACATACATATATTTAATTTTCTGCATATAACCTTGCTTAGAGGTATAATTGATTTGGTTAATAGCCAATGTTCGAAAGTATAGAGCCATTTTTCCGCACATTTGGTTAGATGGAACATTTCTCAAATTTTAATGAAGAAATGTCAAAATTAGCTTGAATTTTACATTTGACATTTGATAATGGGAATTTAATTGTACTAAATAATATTTTAAGGATTATAAGAAATTTATTAGAGAAGTGCTACATGTACATAATTATCTACATAATAGTGTCCATAATTACACGTGGCACTGAATTCAACTTTTAATTCAAATCTCACACTTGTACATCAACAACTAGATAATTGTCATATTACATTATGGACACAATTATGTACAATAATTATGTACAAGTAGAATTTTTCAATTTATTATACCGTTGAAGTACATCTAAATGGTAACAAATAGATTGAACAAGAAAAACAAAAAAATAAATGATGACTTTTGTTTATTTAATGTGCAAAACATTTTTTAAATCGTTGTATCCTTACGTGTTTAGTTAGGCGATGGAGAAGCAAAGTTGTTAAGACTTAAAAATGACTTGACACGAGAGTTGGTTAACTAATTACTTATTTAACAAACACCACTACCTTGATGGATGTAATACCTTTGAACTAATTGGCCATTAGGGTGTACTTTAAGTCACATGCCTCCCAATATTGCAATCAACAACAATTACTACTTAATTTAATTTAAATCCAACATGGGTCATGCATTGTATTTTGTATCGGCGATTATGGAAGTGTAATTTCATTTTTTCAAAATTTATGAATAAGGTACTATAAGACTGTTCAATTACACGAAAATAGAAAGAAATGGACGACTGAAGTTGTATTAAAGACACTATAAATATTAATTCTTTTTTTCGTGACATTCATTAATGTGAATATTTTATTGTCAAATTGGATATTCTATCTTAGTGCATGTTTGACTAAAATTTATTTATAATTACTAATTAAATTTTCTTAGAGATAATTTGTTTTGATTAGACCTAAAAATAAATTACTTATTTTAATAGTTAGAGATAGTATATATTTTTCTAAATTTAAAAGTAATTATTACTTTTTATTTCTATGTATGTTTTCATTTATTACTTATTCATATTTATTAAAAAAAATTATTACTTATTTTGACCATAAAATAGATATTATAGTCAAAATAAATAACTTATTATGGATTTGATATTGACAATAAAAATAATATTTGTTAAAACTTATTTATTTATAAAATAATATATTTATTAGTATATTCTTGAAATCGAGCAAAAAATGGACGTGAAATAAATTTAATTTCTTTGACCCTCGAAATTCTTAGTTGATTTTTCTCACTTTGGTTGAGATTCTTCACTCATTTTGAAATATGATGATATAGAAGATCGATGAACACACACCAAATAATATTTTGAGACAATAACATATGGATTAAATGAAGTTTTCATTTGTTCGGAAAGACTCGTTGTCAAAGTTACTAGAAGAGTACTCGTTAAGTAATTTTTTAAAATTTCATTGGTGAATATGTATTTTTGCTTAATGCTATGATTATTCGGTTAGTTTATATTTTTCAAGGTAAGTGCCGATTTTCTATTCGGTAAAAAATACAAAAATTTAGTAGAATATCTTAATGTGAGACATCTCAACTTTTTTTTTTATTGAATGTCGTATACTTTTTATTATAAATGTAACGAGAGTAGCCTCCAAAACTCGATTTCTTGTGGCATAAGTTCTTTCAAAAAAAAAAAATTGTAAGTTTCAGACCATTCCAACATTATTTTCTGGTTTCGCCCCTAATTTCTCTATAATTTCATCTCGATATTGAACACTTGAAATATTATGTCTCGAGTTTCAATTTTCTTAAAGTAACCTTGTGTTAGTCACATTTAATCTTAAATTCCTATAATCGGTTTTGTCACTGTATATCTCCGTGACTCTGGGCTCATTGATGCACTGTTGCTAAACTCCAAATGCTGGCACTCTATTCCAGTCATTAAATTCAGAGCCAAAGTATCCTAAGGTGCTATTTTACTGTTTTTACCATCACTGCAACAAAAATCCGAACAATATACTGATACTATTCCATCAAAAGTAATTATTTGAAGTATTAATATTTATTAGATTTTGAGTTCCATACTAAAAGGTCACCCTCATTAAAAAAAGATTAGCACACTCACTTACAAGTTGGTCTATATTTTCATTTTTATTCGATGTGAGATTTTATCACTTAATATGTCCCGCAAAATGGTGGTTCGTTTTAACAGATTTTGAAATTCGTGTGCTTATTTTTTGAGTTTTAGTCGGATCAAATTACTCATTAGAATTTCATGGACTCTGATATCATATTAAGATTTAGGATTTTATTTTAAAATGTCAACATTATTAAGATAAATGGTTCAATCCTTTATGAGTTGGCCTAAGTTTTCAACTCTATATAATTGGGATTTCATCCTTTAACATAAATGACATCAGCATTTAGTGTCTTGGTTGCCCAAGCCTTTAAAGTTTACAATTTTGGCACTCACAAATCCAAACGCCATAATAATTCTATTCCAAGAAAAAAAATAATGTGAAGTACCGGTGCAAGACAACTTGTTCGTAAATCAAAGATAGCAACAAATTCAATGGCAACGGATGCATCGATATCAACAGATATTGAGACTACTAGTTTGAAAACGCTACTATAGACCTAACAAAATAGATAGAGGCGAAAATTACAACCTATCTATCCGCTGCTATTATTTGGATATAAACAACGTTAGCCTCTAGCCTCTTTGCTCTTTGAGCCTGAAAGTTCAAGAATCAACTGTGAATTGTAGTCTTTCACTTGCAACTTGTAATCTATAATTGAAAACTTAAATCTGAAATAAATGTAATAAGCGCAGCACACAAATGTATGGCCATGCCTGCATGTTCTAGTAGCGTCTTGAAATATGGCACCAATTTATGTCTCTACATAGAAGCGACAAAGGACTCAGAAATTGGCGGTGAGGACAAAATTCGACAGAGATTTGCAAATCAAGCATTTAAAACTTATTTAAAAAGTACAATGCTTTTGTTTTTACGTACAATACAATAAGCACTAGCAAAATATTATTTAGAGTTGGATTTTTAGATTTTTCCATAAATTTACTGTTACATTTTAAATCGTTCTGCAGTCCTTTTTAGCCCTATGCAATAGATGTGTCCAACTGATAAAAAGAAAATTCCAAGTTCGACCTCCTTACATCATGAACGACTTAATGAGAGGTCAACTAATGAGTCGAAGATGCACTGATAAATGACCAATTGACGAATCATGTTATCAAGCATCATTCTATGACTAATTGATCGACCAGCTAATTAATAGCATATTAATATTTTATTAAGTAGATAATTTTTTATAAATTTTGGTGACTTGCACTTAAATAAGATGATCAAAACTTGTATAAATTGGACACAATTAGTAAAGTAATATGAAGTTCATTTATATTTTTTATGATATACACAAATACTCTTTTAACCGTTGCTGACTTCTACCTCGAAAATCTAATAAAAGTACATATACTAATTTCTTTTAGAAAATTTTCGGATAGTTGAGGCGAATAATAAGCTAAAAGAATATTGAAGATATTAATTTTCCATTAAATCTCGTGACTCAAATAATTTTTTTTTTACCAGTAGTAATAAAAGTTAGTCCGCGGATCACTTAAACATCATATATGTTTGGGAAATTGGCAAAAAGGTCCCTAACATATGACCCTTGTGCCAAAATGGTCCCTAGCTTTTTATTCTTGGTGCTTACCCTCTCGACCTATTGATTTTATGTGAAAAGTCCTTTTTTACGGTTTCCTCTGTTCTTGCCATTAATTATATCCATTTAAATTTAAAAAAAAAAACATTATACCCTTTTAGCTATTTATACACTTAAAGGACGATTTATGCAAAATTACATGATTTTCATATTTCCTTGCAGTCATAATCAAATCTTTATATACCAAAGGGTTAGAAAGAAAAAAAAAATATAAACGGCGAATGTTCATTATTATTATTATTTGGTTACGGTGATAATTGATAGAGTTGGTACCATTTTCAGGTTTTTTAATTAATCGTGTCATTTTAAATTATTATTGCTGGTGACAATTCACACATGGGCCATTCTATTTGGACTGGGGTTGTCAAGGTACCTGTTCGTTTATCATTTTCCTTCACACATTTATATAGCTGCAATCATAATTTTATTGAACATGTATCGTGTTTGATGTTGATTATAAGAATCAATTTTTGACGATTATAGTTTGAAAAGTAAGTCACACCCATGGGTGAAAAAGTCAAAAATAACAGCTGACTAAAAATCAGAATCAAATGGGAGCTTAGTATTAAACTCAACAAAAAATAGCAGCACAAAACTAG